TTCTGTCTTTTTGAGATGCACAGTGATTTGACTGTGATCAGACAGAGGGGTTAGTTCTCTAACAGTGAATGATCTGAGAGATGAAGGATCTATGTCAGTTATCATATAATCAACTGTGCTATTCATAATCAACTGTGCTATAAAGGTGAGCAAAATGTGAATCTCCCTAAAGTGTCTCCTCGTAACCTACCGTTGATGATATACAGACCCAGGCTTCGACAGAGCTGCAGGAGGACTTTTCCATTCTTATTTACTATAGCATCATGGTTATTTCTGTGGATATGGGAGAATGCGTTATTAATAGCAGTCAGTTTGTTGTTGATATATTTGCTCCCCTGTGCGTCGGTGAAGTCCAGCTGTAGTCCTGTTCTTGCGTTCAAGTCCCCGCAGATGAGCACGTTTCCCTGGGCCTGGAAGTGGCTTGTCTCTTCTTCTAATGTGGAGAACATGTCTTCGCTGTAGTAGGGGGACTCTGATGGCGAGATATATATGGCACACAGGAATATATCTTTTCTGGATGGGAGAAAATCTCTCTCAAATGAGAGTCTCTCTCTCTCACGCACGCGCACACACACACACGATGCGCAAAACTCTGCATTTGAACAGTCAATAGCAAATACTTAAACTAATAACAAAACAGTAGCTGATTCAGAAGCGCCAGATTGTCATAGCAAAGTCAGAATTACCTCCTCTCCTAGGTTCACGAAACGGTCGTCCATAAAATGCATTGCTGTTCTGTTGTAAGTAATCTTAAAGATTCTTAAATGCATCTATTTTCGGAAGGCCAAATAAAGTGCTTTTGCTTTCGCCTAGAAACATACAGCATCTCCCTGACATGGCTGCTTCAACACTAACTGCGGTTATTGAAACCATGCCTTCTTTCTTTGCTTGAACATTTGGGCGCATTATGCAAATATTTCCACATAGTGAGGTAGATATGTGGGGGCGTGTTAGAACGAGCCGTTTTAGGGGGGCGTGGCAGAGTCTTAACTTTGATAAAGAATATCTCTTTGGTTTTGAGACTTTAGTCTTTGCAACTTCAGGGATCTTATCTATGCACCAAGAGCTTGTAACACTCCAAAGAGAAAGGAAAACTTGAAATCGCATTATATTTAATACCTTTCTGGGGCTTGAATGTGGTGCTGTCTATGGAGGGTCAGAAAACTCTCGGATTTCACCAAAAATATCTTAATGTGTGTTTTGAAGATAAACGAAGGTCTTATGGGTTTGGAACAACAAGAGGGTGGGTAATTAATTACAGAATTTTCATTTTTGGGTGAACTATCCCTTTAAAGAAGGAAAGCCCTTTTTTGAGTATGAAGTATAAAGACTATTATGGAAATGTTCTAAAAGAGATATATTATATATTACTCTGTTTTATGCAGAAATATAATTACAAAAGTAGGAAAGAAATAAGCATTATTTTTCAAATATTGTACATTATTGTAGGTCCTCTATGCCCCGCCTCTCTCAAACGCTTCATTTTCTACAAAGTCCCTCCTTCATTGTGCTAATATTTCCACATAGTGACATAGACATGTGGGGGCGTTTTAGAATGAGACGTTTTAGGTAGGTGTGGTTGACTCTTAACTTTTATAAAGAATATCTCTTTAGATTTGAGACTTTAGTCTTTGCAACTTTACAAATCTTCTTTATGCACCAAGAGCTTGTAACACTTCAAAGAGAAAGGAAAACTTAAAATCGCATCATATGACCCCTTTAACTTACTACTGTATATGTCCTCTTCTTTCTTTTTATCTTCATGAGTTCCTGCAGTGCCCTCCAATGTTCTTTCGGTCAACAGATGCCTTTGTTTTTTCCCAGATGTACACAAACGCACTTTTTAGTGTCCTGTAACTCTACAAATTTACCATAATGTCTTGTAACTCAACTGTATCATGAATGATGTAGGTCAGTATGGAAGGTCAACCAGCCATTTTTACAGCTTCCCAATTCCCTTTTAAGATGCCAGTCTCCTCAAGAATGCTGGGAAAAAGACCAGCTGTTCAGAACAACAGGCAAGCTGTGCCTTAGTCACATGATGTAAATATTAGTGTAATAGATGTAATGGTTTCACATTATTTTACTAAGCTGTGGCAATAAAGACGTAAGGCACTGTGGTTAAACAGCAATGTTAATTGATAGAATTCTATTAATATATATTATATATTATAATTTGTTAAATATTTTATCTATGTATTAGTTTGAGGTATGATTCTCAAAATAATTATTATTGGCATAAACTCAATTTGTTTGTAGAGATGAAAATGAATAAAGTGCATGCAAGTAGATTATGCATTAACAAAAGAATATTGAAAGTCTGAAATATTATTAACTACATAATACAAATTGATTTGAGAAATATTAATATAATATAAATATATAAAACAAAGTTTGGAACTATTGTATTTGTTAACAAGTTAGCTTGATGCTTCACCTGCTCCTGTGTTTGTTGATTTGGTGTGAGAAATTTGCTCTTGAATACAGTCTAATGGAGACTGAATGCATGTAGATTATCAGACAAGCTGTGGGCAGTAGACAGTTTTATAGGCAGTAGACAGACAGTATACATGTACTCTCAGCTGCTGTTTCTGGTGACTAATCAAGAATATCACATCTTTTTGTACATAAACACACTGGCCACCTTGATCGATTCATTACCATGCTATATTTTAATATGTAATATGCAGGAACTCACGTATGCTACATTTGGCATTTGGTCAACTAAATGTTTTTATATAATAGCTAATTATGTTTTTTGTGGTCTTTGGTTAGGTTCTACTCTCCTGTTCTCATGTATTTCACAAAGTAAGTCATTACAGATTCTTCCAACATCATTAATTGGCATGGAGACTTTGATAACACCTTATGAAAATCACTGTGAATTAGTCCCTTTGTGCCACTAATTTCAGGTGTGTCTGAAGTCTTTTGAGAAGTTCTCAGGCAGGAAGAGCTGCCCGATGTGCAGGACGGAGCAGTATGAGACCAGGGTGATTTACGATGGTGCTCGTCTCTATCGGGAAAAGTGTGCTGTCAGGTAAAGATGTGAAGTTCATGCGGATGGACAATCTACATCCATCTAAATTGCTCCCATTCCCAACCGTGTCATTGTTTTCTTGTGTTTGGTTTTTATTTTTCAAATCTCAGAATACAGGCTTTCTGGCGTGGCTACGTTGTTCGCAAATGGTACTGCAACATAAAGAAGTATGTGCCACCGAAAGACCAACAATTAAGACGAGTATTCTTTGAAAAAAAGGTAACATTAATTGAGACATTAGGACAGTTTTAGTCTGTTAATTGACATTTCGGTCTCTCAATTGGTCTCTCAATACAATAGCATTTTTAGTTCATTATAATAATTAGATTATTGTATTCTTGATATAATATGCCAGAAAATATGGTTTGTCTGGTCATTTTATAGTTTTTTATGTATTATTCTGCAAAATGAAGAGAGTAAAGCCTCAATTGATTTTTTTTTAAATTTTGTACAAGATTTGTGAGTTTAGAATTGAAGGCTTAAAGAGTTTGTTATAAAAAGTCATTTTCCATAGCAGTTTTCATGCACTCTTTGACCCTTCAGAGTGCAGGATACTGATAGCAGGTGAAAGTGGTTAGAAGCTGTTGGGCAGGGACCTCACTGACACAGACGTCTGGCCCTGCAGCCCCCTCATTATCCCACACAGAAGTCCCCATGCATTAGCCCAGGGAAAGCAAAGGTTGCCATCTAGTGAGGCATCAACTGTCAAGACTTGGTTACGGTTCTGGAACTGACAGCACTATTCCAGACTCCAAGCTATATTCTCAAACTGCTTTGAAAAGCATATTTATAAACCCTACAGATGTATGCATTGACCCCTGTGACAGTATCGTATACTGTTGAGCGTTGCCAAATATATTTTTTATTTTCATTTGTCTGCTACTAGGGAGTATGGTTCAATTGCGATTGCTAAACAACTAATAGCCAAGCGCTCTCTTTCAAGGCAAGTTAGTTTATAGTGGCAGGAATGAAAAGGGGAAATGATCTACATTTAGCTTTACAAAATACCTTATCCAGAGATCACTAAATATTTTAATGGAAAGATAAAAACATTTAAAAAAATTACGTAAGCTTTTAATTAGCAAATTTCTTTTTTTAAGCATTTTATGTATTATTGATGTATTGTTGTTTTATCTTCTTTTATTATCAATTTAAAGTAGGTTTTAATTGTATGTTATTATTATGGTATTTACTTGTTTTCATGTGAAGCGCTTTGAGCACTTTGAGCTGCATTGTATGAAAGGGGTTATATAAATTAAGTTTAATATTGTTGTCAACTTATAGTGCTTTCAAGTAGGGCTGGGTTTTGACACAAATTTCACGATTCGATTTAATTCTCATTCACAAGCTTGCGATTCGATTAGATTCGATTACCAATTCGATTCAAAATCGATTATTTTGGATATACAGTGGGGCAAAAAAGTATTTAGTCAGCCACCAATTCACTCATTTACAGGCCTCTCTCATTCTCACTTTTTAAGTGGGAGAACTTGCACAATTGGTGGCTGACTAAATACTTTTTTTCCCCACTGTATATCAGGTACAGTACATGCCAAATTTTCTCAAGGAAAAAAAAATCTCTCAACTAATGCTGTAAAATATACCAACAGTCAGTTGGTACTATAATATTATATACTATAATATTGCAAGTTAAAATTAATGAAGTTTTTACAATAATAAAGTTAGTTACATAATAATATTTTTACTTCAATTTGTTTTTTTTAAATATAAACATTTAAATGGTGGCTGTCATAAAAACTTGATGGATTTATTCAAACATAAATTAAACCTTGAAGAACAGTAAAAAATATAATGAATGTTATATGGTGCATATATTTAGCAACATGCCCCTCTCTACAGTTTATTTTTCTATCTGACTAATGGTTACCTAATATGTTTTTCTGAGGTAAATGTGACATAACGTGACATTGTTTACAAGACGTTATATTGACATCTTTGCGCGGCTGAAACACTGATTGAGCGATTACATGAGACAGGATACGGATTGTAAAGTTGTACTTTCTTTTAACTTGCCTTCAGATGCAGTGGCGGCTCGTGGGTTTTAAAATAGAGGAAGCACACTAATTGTTTTGGTCTGGGATCCCTGCTGATTATTATTATTATTATTATTTGCTTAACCACTTTAAAATTTTTGGTTGCTTTTAGTCAGAAAACGTAAAGAAAACGACATACATACAGCAAGATAATATAATTTCACTTACCTGGCCTATCACTTGAAGCAAACATCTATCCCTTCTTAAAAGTCTGTGTAAAAACAGAGCTGCCTGTTGCGCCATTTAATTAATCCGACTGCTGTAGCCTATATCCAGTTTAGGCTGTTTTCCCTAAATTTGTATATATACTGTTTGAAAAATCTGTTGGCAATCAAATATTCAATATCGCTACTCATCATAAGTACTTCGTACATTATCAGCGCAGCGGCAGACGTTCAAACTAATATCAGCTAATTTACGTCTCTATGATGATTGGTTGATATCAGAAGGGAGGCTAATTTTTTTTTACCAACGGAGGGACGAGAGCTCACCTCTCCCCCGGCCTCCCCCTACCCTTCTCTATCATTAGCGGTCGTAATTACATCAGCAGATTCGGCACATTCGTGATAGAAAAGCAGCGCTTTCACGTTATGGTATTACAAAACAAAAAATACACATTCTGAAACGTGAACTGAAATGAATTGTGAATTTTATTAACATTAAATCGTCCTCCTCCCATTTTCAACTCAAAATTATGGGGAAGCTGTGCCTCTCCTGCCTCCCCCGATGAGCCGCCACTGTTCAGATGTTTAGTCATGTTTATTTTGTGCTGAAACTGTTATTAATGTGGAGGAGATGATCAGTTCACATGCGCCTCGCGCTGCTGCATCTGTTGAACTGAGGTGCTACAGCGATCTGTCACTCCACATTAAACAGCGCCAAAACGGCATTTATTGTTTAAATACTGCAATACAATGGACAGAACTTGAAATCTGAGACTTTGTTTCATATTAAAAGTACCAACGCACAATGCTTATTGCGATATATTGGATGGGAAGTGCCCTTCAATGTTCCGTCCATTAACTGAAAACAGGCTAGACTAATCGATTCTTGGGATTTAAGAATCGATATCATTCTGTAAAAACGAGAATCGATTAATATCGAGATATCTATATTTTTTTCCCAGCCCTACTTTCAAGGTATATGTTTGATAATTTTTTCCCCTTGTGATTTAGAACCATAATCTTGGTATTGCTAGTGCCATGATATTACATGGAATATTTAGAATGTAACTTGTGAATGAGTGTGAATTTCTGTTTTTTTGCATGTTTCTCTGGACCTTTGGCACACCAGGAAGCAGTTAACCAGCTAAACAAAATGGAACAAAGAGAGAAAGAATGCAGTATGCTTATCGCTTTGCTCTTAGATAGGTTTTCAATCAACTAGTCGCTCGTTTTTTTCCTCAGGTACCTCACTAAGTCAACATATTAGAAAGTTAAATTGGTGACATTAAGATTGATTGTACCTACCCTCTCTTTTCCCTGAATGCGAGGAGGCAGAGTTCACACTGCCAAGTGTTGTTTGTCCTTCTTTAGGAAGGTCTACGTTTGAACTCTGTGGGACACTTAACGTCTGTTTAATTACTGATCAAATACAGCTATAAAAAAAACCACTGATGTAATTCGCTGCAATAGCCGCCACAGGATGTGTGTGCGTACCTGTGCATGCTTAATCTTGCAGGTCAATTTCTGGGATCGTCCAGAAAGTTTCCTTCATACATCCATTTATACTGCTATTGATCTGGCTGTTAACAGCGTTTCATTGTCAGTGCAAGACTCCGAATTGATCTATGTTATGACGGAACATCAGTTTGCCTTGTCATGTCTGACCGAAACCCATTTTCATGTCATTCGTTTCCTTAATCAGTTTCAGGAGATGAACGACAGCTTGGTGCAGTCATGCAGCACAGATGTGGAAGCCTTCCTGAGCGATATCGATCGCTCCGTGGCCTCGAGCCACGACATCCTGCGCCGCTTCGACAAGTACACGAGTGTTTCTGAAATGGAGGAGAAGGACTGGCTAGAAGCTCAAGAGAAGGTTTGCGATAATGCCGCTGCTCCTTCACCTACACATGCAGACGGAGACTGAAATCCCAGTGTACTTTTATAAAAGAGCAGCTCATCAATGCCTCTAATCCCTCTCTGCAGTCGCTCCTCGGTCCTGCCCTTTGCCCGACGTGCCGCCACCTGTCCCGGAGTGCTCGAGCCGCACTGGCGGCACAGATGTTCCGATTCAACAGTATCAAACCCTCCAAGAGATGATTGTTTACCTTGCTAATGAATGAGTGGAAATAATCCACCGTGTTTACTAAAAAACACAAGCTGCGCGGATAATGCATGCCTAGCCTTTCATTACATGCGAGCTGAAGACAAGATTTGGCATTTCAGTGGGCCTCATTGTTATTGTGTTGAGGCAGCCAATGGCAGTGATCCACTAAAAAAGGAAACGCTCATTTTTTATCTTCTGGATGAGAGGTCGGGCAGATAACTTGAGACTCTCAAACCTAGAGTTAGCAGAGTTCAAGTCAGAACCAACCCGTTCCCACCCAGACAAACAGAACGAACAATTATGAAATGTTCTCGTGCGAAGCGATTGGCCTTTGCTGAATAAAGGAAGCTTGACAGTCAGTTAATGATTATGGCTGCACACCTACTTTCTGTTAGACTCAACTGAACTACAACTGTGATACGAGCTGCACACAGCGGTCATAAATCTGCTAATCATTTTTCCCTGATAATAGAGCAGGAAAACACTCTCACGGAACACGAGGTGTGCGTCTGTTCACGGGCATGTTTTGTTTTTTCATTTCACAGGAGCATTTCAGAGGCCGGGAAAGCAAATGCTTGTTAATAAAAGAAACATAAGGGAATAATAGAAGGCTTAAGCATGATGATAAAATACAAATTAACATTACCAGTCAAAATAATTTTTAGAAATAATTGAGAATTTTTTATGTTGTTGTAAGAAGTCAGTAATATTGTAAAATATTATTACAAATTAAAATGACTTTTAATATATGAATAGTTCATTTGCAAAAACAGATAACTCCATTTTTAACAATTTTCAAAAACATTTTTTTATTCATTGTGCATTCCAATTAATCTCAATCAAAGTGCAGTTGGGTAATTTAATTAGGTTAAAAAAATAGCAAAAAAATACAGCTAACTAACACAATAAAAACATGGTTTTTGAAAAAAAAAAAAAAAGTTATGTTTTTGGAAATAAACTCTTCATATTTTAAAATATTATCTATTTCTGTGATGGCAAAGCCGAATTTTCAACAGCTATTACTCTAGGCTAGTCTTTTTCTTAAGAAATTATTCTAATACGCTGATTGGTTCGGATTTTTTTTTCTGAAGAATAAAAAATTTCATTCATTTATTCAGCAAGGATACATTGATCAAAAGTGACAGTAAAGACAACCATAATGTTACAAATGCTGTTCTCTTCAACTTTCTATTTATCAAAGAATCCTGAAAAAAATATTAAGCAAAAACGGTTTCCAACATCGATGATAATAATAAGAACCATTATTAATAATTGAGTATTAACTGATAATAATTGAGCAGCAAAACAGTTAACCAGAGGAAATCTAGCATGAATTAGCACCAGTAATTAGCACCAATAGCACAGTCAGTTACGTTCAATCTCGATCAGCAGAATTAATGGTGATAATCATTTTGAATATTCAGCGAGGAGTGAAAAATGTAAATGGTCGTCTAATCAACAGATGCAGAGCAGCAATTTGATTGAGTGCCACTACTGATTGCTGGTGTCAGTGTGGTGTCTTGGCAGCATTAATCATTGTGCATTTTGAATGGTTATAGTCTCTTAAAAGTCAAGAATGGTCCCCGCCAGCACATTTTACGGATAGTGCATGATTGATGCTCGATCGTAACAGGCCATGGGTAAAATTTTCAAATGGATACTGTATGATATACATTGTGTAGTTGACATTTTAGCACCTCATTGAAAGCAACTGGATGGGCATAGATGCATTTTAAGCATTGTGTAATTCTCACTAGCGATATTACTGATTGCCCATACTCACTTATGTGTTTACTGCTGCCAGTTCCTAGTACTGAAATGACTTCTTTCAATTACACAATCACACATGATTCTTTTTCTTGCTTCCACCAGGCTGTCCAGCGTGGTGATCAGGACTGCCCCATTTGCCTGAACCGCTTGGGCTCACATAATGGCTCATCGAAGGAAGACCGGAATGTCCTGTTATTGTCCTGTTCCCATCTCTTCCATGAACCCTGTCTGCAAGCCTTTGAGCTTTTCTGCCATGAGGTGAAACCCACATGCCCTCTCTGCCGGTCACACTATGCTAAAATGCTTGTTTCAAATTACAGAGATCAGTATATTTATTAGTTTGTCTTGATGTTCTAGTTTATATAACAAGACAAATTAAACTTCTCCCACATCCCCATTCTACATCATCAAACAGTACGATAAAAATTGTCAAAAGTCACAAACTTTATTGTAAACTGAAGTGAAATACAAAAGTAAACTAAAGACAATCTGAACATTTTGCTTCACAAACCTATGCAATCCAACTCTACAAATACAAGAGAAAACATTCTGAAAATACATTCACACGTAAAAGAAGCAACAGGCAAAAATGGAAACAGAATTAAGCTTTCCCTTGGGATCTGAAGATGAGAATTCAAATGAGACCGACAGACATTTAGCCTATGATGAACAAGCTGTTTTGATGTGTAGACCGGACACTTTCTAGTGAAACGCTGTCAACAGTTCAACAGACTAATAAACTGAAATACCACAGCATCTTTGATGTACTACATTTTTTGTAACTCTTGTACCAATGTTGTACAGACAAGCACATTATAGAATATGGAATGAATCGGTTTCTTTTTCTTTCAGTTATTTCTAGTATATCCCTGCAAATGCCACTATTTTGAGAAACCCAACACACTAACTGACACACCAGTCCTTGTCCTGCATAAAGCAACAGCAACATTCCTCAAACACCAATTAAATTAAAGCCAAAGAGTAGAATTTAGTGTTATATACTATAGTTAATAATGTATTATATAGTTAATAATAATATAAGATGCTCTGGCATTACAAAATTTGTGCAGACAAAAGTGACCTTAAAGTTTAATACACAAACGCACAAAAACATTATAAAGCTTACTTCAATGACACAATTATTGACATTATACATTTATTCCCCAGATATTTTCTTACAAAATGTTCTGTGCAAATCAACAGGAAGAAAATATATTTTACATGTAACTTTTTTAAATCCATGACAATAAAAACCACAAAACAATGCAGCAAACTGAACCACAGAACCCACTGAGGTGTCAGTTTTTAAATGACCTTTTCACAGGCTTTAAATTCAGTGTCCCTCATGTGAATCCTAGCCCTCTGCAGACACAAAATTCAATCACTTTCTTAAAATGATTTCTGCCCAAACTTTTAATATTCAATATCAGTGCCCTGATAGTTTCTTTTGACTTTGGCCAGTTCGAGTTAAAAGATACGCCCTGTTGTTTTGGTATGCCATGTTATTGACAATCACAAGAGGGATTCACAGTGAATTAGTCAATTAAAAGGTACACAAACTAACTCATTTTCACGTCTCACACATGCATAACTTGTCTCCTCAATACTGGACAACAGGAGACAAAAACGAAAAAGCCTAGAAAGCCTGTTTAAGGCATCAGAGGTGATTTATTTTATTTTTTTTGTTCAATAAACAAATGCTGAATGACTAATTGTCTGGCCTTTTCCACAAATAGCATAGTATGAATGAGGCTCAAAGGCCATTTCATATCTACATTCTACAAAAATAAAACGAAGAAATATACTGTATATACATGTAAATACATCATTTACATTATTATGAGGCTTGCCATACTTAAAGAGACGAGAACTGAAGACTGCACACAGGATGTCTGTTCAGCTTTACATAACACTTTAAGAGAAATGTCAGGAATGGTTTTTTAGCCTATTGGTTTTGTCATCAGAATGGGAATGTTTGGAAACTATACTGAAAATATTGTACATTGTGTAATCAGTAACATTTAGACAAAAAGAAAAAGCTTCTATGACACTGTACAAAGGAGACCCTTCAATGAGTCGTGCTGCGCTCTACATGTGTAATGACATCTGACTCCGCTCGGACTTCACATTCATTTCACTGCACAAGAAGCTTTAATAGATCTGATGTGGCTCTGCAGTCCTGTTTTCACAGCCTTTATATACAAGAAACTACATAATGTACGAGTTTAGCCTCTGATCTGTGTAGACCAGTGTTTTGTTAGACTTAACAGACTGAGCTGGCTTAAAATCCAGCATGAGAGTGAGTGGAGAAAAACACAAATATCTTCATGAATAATCTGCCATTTGCAAAAAGCAAAGCAGCTGCAGAGGTACAGACTAGATGTTTGAAGGCTGTTTTGCTAGTGATGTTGAAATAAGGCAGATATATAGATCCTTACAAGCTCTGCAGCAATAACCAAGTTCAAAGGATGCATGTTATTGGTTATATGCTCTCAGTTTGCGTAGTACATGTAGCATAGTATAGTATCAAATGTTGTGAAGGAAGTAGCAGCAGATTTAAGTACAGGAACAGGAAGCATATCCCAAGATTGTGCCTCACTTTCTCCCATATATTTGGTGCATTTTACTACCAGCAGCATTTCTCTGCTGTCTTTTCCATTTTGTCACCTCCCTTATTCAAGACTACAATACACTACACTCCATTAAACGTGTTAAATCATTGAGGTGATTTTGCCAAGAGTGACTGGCAGGTCGCATCATTCCAAAACACAATCTGCCACAACCAGTTCAAGTAAACACAATAACATATGAAGCTGGTTGTTGGTAGTGACTCGAACCCATAATGTCCACATCGGAACCTTGCCTACCAATGAAAACAACAAGAACAGTTGCAGTGCAAGAAGACATTTGGCAGGTAGGCTCCTCCACTCTTTGTGATATTTTAATACTACCCAGTATATGCCAATATTGTGAGTAAGGCACATGTTTTGGGGAGTTTCCTTGTCAATTCCCATTACTTAATTCTGTCGCATCCAACAAACCTGAATTGTCACAGTAAAGCATGAGGAAACTAAAATCATAACGCTTCCTCATTTATAATTGAGCAACGTATAAATAATAATTGATCTTCATTTGAACAAAGTGAATGTAAACGTATGCAATGGCAGACAGAATAAGTTTTCAGATTACAAAACTTACTTTACACATCAAAATGCAAGCAATAAATTTGACAGCTGTAGACCAATGCTGACAATTAGTATTTGTCATTGTGATTGGCCATCATGTTTTGCTTGTAGATTTTTTTTTGAACTGATTTTGTAATGTGCACCATTTGCATAAGAACTAGTTAGTTTGGCATTAAAGCATCTATAACTTAAATTGAGATGATCAATGTTCAGTTAGACTCACTGCAACGATTTCTTTGCCAGTGTTAAATTTGACAACTGCAATTCTTCAGAGAATGTAGTTTCTAATATTAGTACTAATATCATGTGTAATAAAGGTGCCTCTCTTGTCATTATCAAAAATGTTTAGATGTCATTTGTGTGCTGTTTTTATGGGAACTAAACCGGTTTCTTTTAACAAGGTCCATTTAACTTTACAAAATACTGATCTACAAGGGCACAAAATGTCATCAAACAATAATTTAGGAAAATGATAAGCCCTAATTGAGACTAGTGCATGCTTCATTACACGTGAAATTATCAGCTTGGCAAACAGCTTAATATTTCCCCTAATCAAACTAGAGAACAATTATAGATAATAAAAATTATAATAATAATAATAATCCCTCATTGAAGGGTGCAGTCAGGAGGCCTTTTAGGTGTGCAGGTCAGGAAGAAAATAAAATTTTCTCACTCAAGAGAATTGAAATGAATGCATTTACAAGCTGAACAACAAACACTGCTAACCCGAGTGAAATATTTGTGAATCTCAGCCTGGTTAGAGTTGTTGGTATACAACTCTATTGTAGGTCTAAACACTTTCACGGTTTTGTTTTTTTGATGCTCTGTGACTAAATACCACTGTACTCTTGAAATGAAAAACCCAACTGCATACACACGAGTTTGTGAGAGAATGGCTCGATTTTGTTCTCACAGAGTTTTCTGATGCCCGTTGACAGCATGTTTCCCTGACTCTGCATCTGTCGTACTGTTGGACAGATTTAATTTATCCAGACCTGAAACCAAAGAGATAAGTATTTGAAACATTTGGACCCTTTGACTCTTATAGACACATAATGTAGCATTTCAAAACTAAAACTACAGTATGCATTTTATGCACTGCTTGTGGACTGCCCTGAATATATAGACACAAAGACATGAGCATAAAAGAAAGAAAAGAAAAAAAAAAAAAAGGAGAAAAAGTACAGAACGAAATAGTAGACCAGAAATAAATGTGGAGATTAAACCATGATATAAGAAGTGCTAATAGAACGGAGTCATGCAGAATACATTACCGAGGGCTTTGAGGAGTTCCTCTCGCACAGCAGATGTGAATTTTCGGACCAGACACAATGTGGTTACCACAGCAAACAGAAGATTGTACGAAAGTACGATGTAAAAATTTCCATCTTTGACTCTTATAGACACATAATGTAGCATTTCAAAACTAAAACTACAGTATGCATTTTATGCACTGCTTGTGGACTGCCCTGAATATATAGACACAAAGACATGAGCATAAAAGAAAGAAAAAAAAAAAAAGGAGAAAAAGTACAGAACGAAATAGTAGACCAGAAATAAATGTGGAGATTAAACCATGATATAAGAAGTGCTAATAGAACGGAGTCATGCAGAATACATTACCGAGGGCTTTGAGGAGTTCCTCTCGCACAGCAGATGTGAATTTTCGGACCAGACACAATGTGGTTACCACAGCAAACAGAAGATTGTACGAAAGTACGATGTAAAAATTTCCAAGCCAATTAAATCGTCCAAAATCACCCAGGAGATCAAACCTTGTTATTCCTGCAGAAAGTAAGACACAGAAAAATGGTCAATTCTCAGATTCCCCAATTTTTTTTTAAACATACAATAAGTGGGAGTTTCTTAAAAAAAAATCTCAAGCATAAATAGAAACAGAGTGAAGAAAGGCGGAGATGGTTTGTTGGAAAAAAGGACTGAAAGAGCAGGTGAGGGCTCGATAAAAAGAAGGCCATTCTGAAAGACACTTCAAGGACTACAGCTCCATCTAAATCAGATTACACAACATAATAAGGTATCTTTTCCCACATCCTAGATAAGTCTGACATTTACCATCTGCTGTCATATTTCAGTTAGAATGAAGGTCGTTTATTGTCGTCAGATAATACATTCTTTCTGAAACAAAACAGACAAGTTGCACTGTGCTATTTTTATATGACTAAATGATCCATGGCCACAGGGTGCATGTGGACATTTAAAAGAAATGTGTACAGCATAAAAATCTGAAATTTGAGTATTGTGTTTCCAAGTTGCCAAACAAGTGATTGCCTGAATTAATCCAGCATGTGCAATCTGACATGAATTAACACAGGTCATCACTTCATCACTTAACACAGACGGATACAAACAAGATCAAATAAGGCAAAAAATACAAGTGAGTTCATCATTGAAATAACAAAATATTTAAAAGAGATTCATTTTACAAAGCGATTTAAACCTCTGGAAAATTATTCAATTTTTCATAGAAGTACTTTCATGTTCAATTTTCTGATTTCAAATCAAACACTCCAAAGATCTGAAACATTTGTTTAAGGACAGATAAAGGATTAACAACCACTGACTTCAAATTAAGCACTTTTAATCACAGTCAAATCAGAGTTCAACTAGCTTCATATTCCAAAAAGGAACAATCTACCTCCTTTTCCCCATTTGCATCATGGCTTTTCCTATTGGGCATGTTTCTTTTTTCCTCCTCTCCTGCTTTTGGGTGCTCCTTTAAATAACATTATAATTCAACCTTTTTCTGGACTACCTCTAAATAAAACATTGGGTACAACAGGCTGACTCCTGAGGATAACTTAAAACAACTTCAATGTTTCCATTCAAAATCTCAAGCACCATCCAGTTTGTTGAAAGTGGTAAAAAAGGGTCAGGTTTTCATCCTTGGGCAAACATATTCATCCTAAATTAGATGTGCTTAGTTTTCAGACTGACGAGCCAGGTTAAAAAAAAAAAACAGTTTGTCTGTCCAGCATCTATTAATTATCGCAATTAAAGACCAACAGTGTACACTGGCAAACCTAAATCCTCAAATGTATTCATTAGTTACACCAATTAATTAATTAATTTTTTACTTTAGGATTTTTCTTCCCTAGGATTTCCACCTTGATAAATCCCTTGTAGGTTTTTCTCGCCAGTCCTAAAAGAAGAAAAAAACTGCAGAAGGATAAACTAAACAATTTAGTTTATTTAATTAAAGGAGCTTTTCTAGACTTCATGACCAGTTGATGAGGGCAATGACCACTTTCTGTACTCTGTAACGTTTAAAAGGGAATTGTAAAGAGAATCACATTTAAACGGAGCAAAATTCTAACGTCAAAAGTTTCTCTTCTGCATGC